CATGAACCCATCTGAGTGGGTGATCATAGTGACAAGATTAGCCCCTTTGTCGGACAAAGGTAATGATCGGGGATGCACTCTCTCTGATGGAAACCAAAACTGCCGRYAGYCGATTTCAACCGTTGGAATTTTGTTTTGCAAAATATATTTATAATGATATAATATATATGTACGGTTTCAACTCGTTTGCATAAAGGTTTTAATCCTCGGGGTCCATCCTAGAGGAGAGTGCAACACTTTGCCTTGCAGTCGAGGGAGAGGTCCTCTCTTGTCGGACAGTGTTTTGGATCATTATGGGCTGAGAGATTAAGTGTAARGCCATTTAGGGTTTATACCTGATGGACTAATCTTGCATCTACCCATAGTCCCTGGGTTTTTGAAACCCTCAACCCAACACAACACGATTTATACCTCAACCATGGTTTTTGAAACTGACCCAGAGATCGAAGCGGTCAGGGGTCCGGTTACCGGGTTGAGTGGTCTGACCATTTGAACTGAGTGCTTGGACGATTCTAACAAAAAAATAAAAAAATAAAAAACGGTCAAAACCGTTCAAATGGTTTGAACGATTAACTCCCCAGTTCAGCGATTCGCTGACCAAAATTAACGGTTTTTAGGGAAAACGGCTTCCCGATTTTTCCGGTCTCGTCCGGTCATGAAAACCATGACCTCAACAGTCCATTCCCTCCCCTCTTTTGATTATTAGTATTTATGACTCTTGGGGGGCATGCTACCCCCATCTTGTGCAGCATCTTCTGATTTATCAAAAAAAAAAGAAAAGAAATTATAAATGCACACATAATTTGATATTTGGATTTAAATTGATTAATTAACCTAAGTAAAGAAATTAATATTAAAAGAAAGGTAGACCGACCATGATCACTATACAAGAAATGAAGAGAAGAGAAAATAATTATATTGAGTGTTTTTTTTTTTTGTTGGTCGCCTAATTATCAGCCCGTAGCTTATAATTTGCCAGCGAAAGTGGCTGATGGATATCGATCATCGATTAATTAGTAGGGAAGATTTGCCCATTCGACTTTGGCCATTCCTGTGCTGTCTCACTCCAATTTCCAGGCATATAGGAAAAGACAGAAATCTGAGGTGGATGATGGACGACTCTGAGAGTAAGTAGAGTAATATCCACTGTCGCCGCTCTCGCTGCCGCCGGCGCCCTGACTGCCACTGTCGCTGCCGGCGTCTTTGTCATGGTCGAGGTCGGAATCGTAATCATGAGGAGCGGGCTTGAAAATGAACAAGCCGTGACCAGTGGGTTGGCCGCTAAACAACCAATCATGCACATCCCAGAAGACTTGCACCGGAATCGTATTCACTCTGATCGTCTCATTTCCCCTGAATTTCCATTGCAAGTTAGTGACATGGATCAACACAATCCCGTCGATGCTGATCCACATTTCAGGATCCTTAGGTCCCGTTATTGAAATCTCAACCACAATGTCATGTTCTTTTCTCCTCTCGTCAAACTTGGCTCTCGTGGCAAAACATTTCTTACCGAACACGTTGTCCTTCTTATAAATTAACGTAGCATCTGCCAACGACGGCCGTGATTTGGTCCTCTTGTAGGCTTCCTTCTTGTGATCTCCCAGCAACAACACCACCTCTTCCTCCGACACCAAGGCCACGTAGTAATCCGAGCATGGTTCAGGGCTTGACTCGAATTTTGCTGCACGAAGATCCCAGAAAACATCCACTCGTTTCCCTTGGACCTCAAACGACTTGAGCCCTTTCTTGCTCCAGAAGTGCCAAGGCTTGAGATCAATTTTGCAGCTGCTGATTTGATGGTTATCACTGCTTGGGTTATTAACTGAGATGTTTAGACAATGGTTCATTAGGTTCTTGCTCCATATGACGTGCACGTTATAGCACATTCCGGCAATGCTTGCTTGATATACACACATCACGGTGCACTGTGCCGACGACAACTTATTTGTTGTTGCACCATTATCCTCCGACGACCTCTCTGCTGAACTTGCAGCATTGTTGCCAGGCGGTTGACCTCGTGCAGTGTGATTAGTAGACATTGATCGATCGGTATATTCTTTCTCTCTGATTTTAATTCTAGCTATCAAATTCAACTTCTAGGAAGAAAGAATTAATACCCGCCAAGTGAGCCAAACAGGGCCTGCACGTTTTAGTATTGGTTAAACGTTCAAGCCCTATTATTATGAGAATGTGGTCGTGTTGGGCACAACAATCATCCACCTGATCAATGAATATGATATCGAGTATCGTCCCTAGCTCGATATCATATGAACTGGAAGACAAAGCCAATCAGAAACTCTCCTCCCCCTTCTGCATTACCACGTATGTAATACATTTTCTTTTTTCTTTTTGTCGCCCAACTGGCCGGAGAATTATATTTCCTGTATACTGATAAATGGTAGCCGGACGTTTTGACAGCGATTAGAAGGTCCGACTTAGCTGCATCACAAAATTTGAATTCTGAAACGAGACCAGCAGGTGGTATTCGAAGATTCTGGTTTGGCTTTTGGTTGGAGAAATGAATCACAGGTGGGATATCCTCATATCCACCGAAAAGTGTACATTACAATTTGCGTAGTGATAGGAAGAATTCAAGGAATAGAGGGTGGGAATTGGTTGCGGAGAAAAGCCCCTCCATTGTCTCAAACCCAGAGTACTCTGTTTTTGTATAAGGTGACAAAACGTCCCCAGGTTTTTTTACACAAGAAAAAAAAACGGTTTTTCTTCCGTTTGTTCGTCCCTCCATTTCATACCAAACACAGTTTGTTGGTTATTAGTTAGCTAAAAATTTGCCAATTCACCAAACTGTCGTGAAGAAAACAAGTTTGGTAACTACAATCCCCTGATTTCTTGCATATGCCATAGATATAATGGCCTAAAGGGATGAACCCAGGATATTTGTTTGGTAAAAATGGAATTTCATTGATACCAATGGATTATATATTTGGATTCGTTGAAACTAATGGATTATATGTTTGGATCAGGTTAAGTGTTTTCTATATATATGAAGCATTCTTATAGCTCTTGTCCATATTATGAATCTGATGGTCATGGCACTGTTGAATGTCAACAACCAAACATAAGAATACAGACCTGATCTGTTGTAGCCACTTTGCTGTGGAAATTGCGGTAGACCCAATAAAAGCATGTGAAGACTGAAGAGTATCACTTGTGTGAGGACTCATCACGATTCATTTAACTTTTTGTTTTTTTATTCAAAACAAAACAAAACGGATAAAAAGTCTTCACCTTCAATTTAGTGGAAGATGATAGGGTTGTTCATGGGTCGGGTTGGGTCGGTTTACTAGTGTTTTTTCAACGGATCTGACCTGGTCGAGTTACCTATTGATCAAACTTTAATCAACCCTTTATTAAGTAAAACTGACCTGGTCGGTTTGGGTTTCAACCAACTCCAAGCTTGCATAATGCATATGAAGTCAATATTATATATAATACTTTAAAATATATTTTCTGGAAATATATATTTAAAACTAAAACATATATACAAATATATCGAAATATATATTTTCTAATTTCTGGAAATATATATTTCAGAAATATATATCTGATATATTTCAGAATATATATATATTTTTAGATATATATTTATTATTTAAAACTAAAATATCTATATTTAATAGATATTTTTTCAAAATATATATATTTTTTGCATAACTCGGTTCAATTCGGTTTATGAAAACCGAAACCAAACCGAATTATCGGTTTGTTCAATTTTGCAACCCGAAACCCACTGATAGTGAAGAAAAACTGGCCAACTCGGGTTGGGTTGGGCCGGGTTGGTCGGTTTGGATTTATTTGTGAACAGTCCTAGAAGATGATTCGAATATGAACTCCATTGGAGGAATATAGATGGATTGAGGCAATTTTACCAACCCAAAAATCCTTCATCTTTGTTGCCACTTGAGAGGCCACATGATTCCCCACAATTGTTCTTAAATGTGGATAGATTGTGTGGATCGGATTAGTTCATACCCACAGTGGCGTTTTGTAGGTGTGGTGTTGATTGGTCCACACCATACACAATTGATTATAAATGTCTAATTTTTGTATTTTATATGATAAATAAATTGAAGAAAATGCATCAATTGTATTTTTTAAATAATTAAAAATATTATTTTAAATATTAAAAAATAAAAATTAATGTTTTAAATACTATTTTATTGATAAAATATTAAAAATTTAATATTTAAGTAATAAAAAAAGAGTTGAGAAGGAGAACTGTCAGACTTGTGCTAGGATTAACATTAAAAGTTATTATGGATAAATTTTTAAAAATTTAAAATTTAGAAATTATTAAAAGAATGAGAGTAATTGGACCAATGTAACACATGTGCATTACACTGAAACATTCCCATAAATTGYTCACACTATAGTGTAGACATCCACGAGAAAATACTATGGACGATAAATTGGGGTGTGGCTCGTTTCTATCCATGCTATTTTGTAGACTATCCCCGTCCACACATAATAAAACATCATATCTTACCATGGTCGGAACCAAAACGGTCCCTTCCACGATATATACACACTACCAAACGCCACCTTTATTTGCCACGGAATTACAAGTTGAATGAAACCAACACCCTTCTTTCTTTAAGGCTCAGTTTGGAGGGACTACAAATAATATAAATATGTAGAGTGAGGATTCTAATGCATATCTTTGCACGGGTCGCGTGGGATGTCGCTCTCCTACAAGGAAGTTTCTTAACCTTTTCTTATCCTTTTTCTCTTTCTGACGGTTCTACCCTGGTCTTCTTCCGTTCTAGTTTATTTTGTGATTGCCTTGTATATTTTGAATGTCTTTGTCTTTTCTTTGCTGACCTCTGTTTCTTTTATCAAGTCTTGTTTTGGATCCTCTGCTCACAGCAAAGTTCATTTCCAGATTCTCAGAAAAGCTCGTAGCAGAGTTCAAGCTGCCCGTGATTTGTGTGGTTGCATTCTAATCTTCTCCTGGATGGGAGTGAAAGGTCTCAAGAAAAAAAATGCAAAAGGCGTATTCAAAGTATTATTGCAAACCAAATTTTATCTTCCAACTCTGTTGGAACAGACCATCAGAAAAATGCGGATGCATTTTGTAATTCTAAAAGGGTGGGAGTTAATCTCCATAATCACCTGATACAGTCCAGGAAAGATAACAGGAGGGATAAAATCACTCAGATTGTGAAAAACTATTTAAGGAGAAATTCCAAGGGAGAAAATGGAAGAAAAGATATTTAGTGCAACCAGCGACAAACGAATTGATAAAAAGTTTGTTCTCCTGGAAACCAGTTCTATCCTGGTTGATAGAAAGATTTTGGATAATGTATCAAGCGGAGTGGAAGGACACTTGAAACCGGCGACAGAGGAAAATTCATCTGTTAACTGCACTCATAGTAAAAGTTCAGAGATGCTGCCAACCAGCAGAATGATGTTATCAAACGAAGGGAAGGAATCACCTCTTAATGGAAAAGAGCGCAAGGGAGATAAAACCAGTCCAAAAAGAAACTGCGCACAAAGTAAGGATTGCTTGGAATTCAAACAAGACTAACTCTCTATGATTTTAAATGTGAACAGTTCGAAAGTTTCAGATCTTCAAAAACTATTTGGGTAAGTGCCTACCCTACGGGGGCTTATCCTAGTCATTCTGCTCAAACAGGGGAGCAAAGTATCACACCGAAGAATCCAAAAACCAACAAGGACGTTGATGGAATCAGCTCCAAGACTGATCCTCATTAGAGAGTTTGTACTTTCTTTCGGTACAGAAACAAATATCCACAGGTCGGAGATAATTCAGGAATATTAATTACAAATGGGGAAATCTCTTGCATGAAAACAGAAGAAACCAGTATTTGTACTCGGGCGTTTGTGAGTTGTGACGACGAGAAAACAACCCATAGTCTTTCTATTCAGGACTCTCTTGGAGATTTGTAAGAATTCTGATATGGAAAATTCAATGGTTGCTGAGTCGAGTAAGGCTAGGAGGTCTTTGAACTTGGAGTTTAAAAAAGAAATGGAGAAGAAGCACATGAAGGCAAACGAATAGGGCAGAACCAGAAAATCGCCCGTCCTATCAACTTGGATGAATTAAAGCTCAAGAGGAGTGTGGTGATCGATGGTCCTTGTGTCTGTACGCAAAGATCCTTGGAGGAAGTGAACCAATCACAACCATTCTAGAAAAGGGCAAAGAATGGAAACTTGAGAGCAGAGCGGACATTCAAGCCATTGGTAACGATTTTTTCTTAATCACTCTTACTTCTCTTAATGACTATAACAGAGTTGGTGTTAACACCTTGGAAACCAGTCTTCAATCCCCTCAAAGCTAAACTTGTTGAGGCTGATTTGTGGATTAGGTTTCCTGGTCTCCCACTTGAATGCTGGTCTAGAGATGATTTGGAAATCATAGTGAAGTGGGGATAGTACAAAAGCTCAATGAGGATACTATTAAATTATCCCGGACTGTGTATCCTAGAGTTTGTGTAAGGGTGAACTTGACCAAACCCTTCATTTTAGAAATTCCAGTTACGTCAGGAGGTATTAAAAGTATTTGTAACCTCCATATTATTTTGTCAAATGACAGATTAGTCTGTGCTCTTGTTGAAGAAATTTCTACTCAAAAGTCTTGGTTTAACACTTTTGTCTATGCCCCTCCTAACAAGAATGAATAAAATCATGTATGGAATTGGCTTAAGCTCAGTTTGGAAAGAGTACAAATACAAATATGTTCAGTGCAAAACCTTATATACAGTATTGCTATTAAGCCTTGTATTTGCACTGTACATATTTGTATTTGCACTTTTCAAATGGAACCTCAGGCTTAATTTGGAAGGAGTACAAATGCAAATATGTAGAGTGCAAAACCTTATATTTTGTATTATTTTCTATGTATTTGCACTGTAAATATTTGTATTTGTACTCTTTCCAAACTGAGCCTGAGCCTTAGGGAAATCACTAATAGCATTAATATATAGTGCCTCGTGCATAATGGGGGACTTTAATGCCTGTAGATCCAGAAAAAATAAAAAAGGAGGTAGAGAAGTTA